AAAACTAAAGATTTTTTTATTCTGTTGAGTAGTAATTTCTACAGCTAATGTTAGTATGGCTATGCTCAACACTTACATTAATACTGTATGTAATGGCATCTTTCTAACAAAGATTAAGGGGAATATATCTAGTGTAATATGTGCTATGTTTGTATTTTGGTGTGTATATGTATTTTTTTGCTACATAAAGAGTGTGTTGTGGTTGATTGACTTAAGTTTGTTAAAGCAGCACTTCTTGAACTAAAAATGCAAGGTGTATTACAGTTCTATATTCTGAGCTTAATGTGGTTTATAGAATATATATATATATATATATGTGTGTTGTGTGTGTGTGCTTAGTGTTACATTGCTGTATTGTGCAATGCTTAGAAGCACAATTAATTTACTCATTCAGGAATTTTCTAGACATAAAATTATCAAGTAAGTTACATAACTCAACACCTTATGTGAGGAATATTTTGTTTTATGTTCTAACTGTAGTCTATCATGTACCAACATTTTTTTAGCTGGTTCAGTGACTACAAAGATAGTGATTATGCACGAGCAGGAAATGTAGCTACAGACACAGTGGTTCTGGATGAAGGTCCCCTCACACAGTTTCCTCACTCTCTAGAACAACATCTACGACAATTAGGCATGCCTACTAGTCTACAGAAAGGTAGTTTTACTGATATCGTGCCATTGGATAAAGTTATTTGTGTGCTGTTTTCTTATTGATGTCAAGAAGGAAAAAAACAGATGAAAAACAAACCACTTTTTTTATTCTTATTAATTTGACTGAAATGACTTAAATCGATCAAACTGTAATGCAGTATGATCCTTAATAACCTGTGCATTGATTATTTTTCAAATGTAGTACTTTTTGTGTGTTATGTTGGCAGACAAAAATATTATTAATAAAATAGCTTGTACACATTATATTTTTTACTTCTAGTGTATGTGAAAGAACAATTGAAATTGGATTTCAACTTCATTATAATCTATATATGAATATACATTTTGTTTCATTCAACTATCTACAAAAACTATGGGTATAGTTAGATTAATAGTGTTATACAGTATAAAACACTTACTGGTTATCTTGAATATAATCAATTTTCTTGATGCCCATTTTCCACATCTAAAAGTAAAGCTAGGTTATTTCTTAGCTGTTTAAAATCCTTATCAGTCAATTATAAAAATATGATCTATTGTAGAGGAATCCTAAAATGTATCAGAATTCCATGTTACTGTTCTTTTGTGTGGCAATCTGGCTTGGTTCATTGGTTATTACAAAGGTGAACTTGCTTTTGAGAGGAAAAAAGTTGACCACTTACACAAAATATATAGAAATCTGTGGATATACAGTTTTTATGACGTACATATACCGTAGCTAAAAGTTAACGATTACAACAACTGGAAGTAGTGATTTTCATCAACAATGTTCAGGTGTGAAATAGTTTCATCAGACTCTTCTAAGAGTTATAGGTATCATATTTTTGAGTTTGTCTATTTATAATAATAATCAACATAAGAAAGAAAGGCAAGTTATCATCTTGTTCTGTTCAAGATTAATTCAACAAGGTTAGTCACATGTTTGAGATACAGGTTTCATGAAAAATTATATATCACTTCAAATTTTTAAAAAATGTATTTCATTATTTAACTATAAATTCTTAATGGTTTTCAAATAGAAAGTACAGATTTGTTATAACTTTACTATTATATTTTTATGTAATTGACTTTTAAGTCCCAAAGGTGGAGACAAAAGCTGGAGTCAAAAAATTGTGTTAAATATACCTATAATTAATTTATGCAAAGATATGTGAATAAATCAAATCAAAAAGGTTTTATTTTAAATACATGAGATCAAATAATATGAAGCATACCTACATATTACTTCATTTGAGAATGATAATCTTTGCAAAAGTGCAGGAATCTCTTTAAGAAATATTCCTGTTATAGATGTGTTTTCCCCATTAAAGCATTGAGACATCATTGTATTTGACATGGAGTTAAATTTTTTTATATCCTATTATCTTGAGGCTTGATGCATTTAACAGCTTCTCTTGTTGTAATTGAAATTATATCTGTAAATGAAATACATAATGTGCTTTATAAATTCTTGTATATATTACATATTTTCTTTTGTCATACTTAATAACACATTTTATTTGTTTATTTGTCATTTTCGTATAGTATGACCAAGTAATTTAGGAATTAGAAAACTTTTATACGAAACTCTCTTTAGAAATTACAGCTATACTTGTTCAACAGTGTACCAGCAGTTGAAATGTTGTTGAAAAAAGAAATTTAGATTTTTCAAACACATATGTAATAATATTGGGATGGTTTAAATTGATTCTGTGGAATGGTTATGTGTGTGGTCTTAAAATGTTGACTTTTTATATCAACAGTTGCAAAGACCATGTCCTTATTTTCCTTAGAAAAAGATGAATTGTGTTAAAAGAATGTTTGGATTTTATTATAAGACTTTCAAAAATCACGTTCTTTTTTTTTTTTCCTTTGAGCAAGATAAATTGTTGTAAAACAGTTTTTTTTCTGTTAAATATTTTTATAACTAAATTATTTGCACTCATGTATGTAAATATATTAACAACAAATATTACTGTATTCAAATCAGGTGTGGTGACTCTCATAAAAGACTACCAAATATGTAAAGAAGGTGAAATCTTGACCCCAGAGCAGGCCAGATTGCTAGTGAGTATGATACTAACGTGATTGCACAAATTTAAATTCAACTTTGAAAAAAATGGTTTCAATTCCATTTAGTGAAGCTTAATTTTAGTTTAAATTTCATCTAAAGGAAAACAAATTAAATATAGGAAAAAAGGATACTTTATTATTCAAAACAGGCAGACTTACCTGTTAAACACAGTTTGCCTTTTCTTGAATAGAGTTCACTCTGTCAAAGTAATTGGACCTAAAGCTCTGTATGTCCTTGACACACTGCAATATGTTCATCATACCTACCCATAGTTCTCCATGTGACTTACCTGTGCATGTGTTAGGATACTACTTAAACTACTTTCCAGCCCAAAACCAGATTTGTTTCCGGTTAATAGTCATGTTCATGTTGTTAGCTCTGTTCAGTTTGACTTCAGACTTCTACTGTAAACCCTTATGTTAGAACTTCTGCTAATTTGATGGCTTCTCTTCCCTCAGTTAAGTTCTTATTTTCTCATTTGTCTACAGGGTTACATTTGGATTCTGTGGTTGCTTGTTGGCTCTGATTGATCAGTGTTTATGGGCCATGCAAATGTGGTTTCCTTGGTGGAATTTCCCATTCAGGTCAATGTCAGTATCATGGAATATCATCGTTACCTCTTGTTGGTGATCAAACTTGGTTTTTTGGCCAGGCTTCTTTGCCCTATTCTCAAGAATGGGTGATATCAACTGACCCTTTATCTAATGACGCTTCTGCTGACTTGATTCAGCTTATCACTCATATATGTACTACTATAAATTTTGAGCCTATTTCTGCAATATCTGAGAGGGGGGGGGTTGTCTTATGTTAGATGATTATGTTTTAAAATCTCTCCTTAACTGTCTTCCCCTGATGTTAGAGTTGTTATTGACTTTTTCAAAAATCAACTTAACATTCACTCTCTTCATGTTCCATCTGTTTATTGTGCTACAAGTATTTTGGTGTAGTATTTGGTTCATTTGACTTCACAGCTACTTGATCCTAAAATTTCTTATAGGGGTGAGCATCTTTGATTTCTTCTTTGTCTTTTTGACAATTTTCCTAATTTTGAACAATGATAGGTCTCAATTTGAACTGGTTTCTTGAGCCCAGCTTTAGTTATAGGCTATTCTCAATCTCAAATGTCTATCTCTGGAATGTTTCTTCATTTGACAGTTTTCTTTTTCAATTGCCCTTATGGATTTAGTTTATATGTTGACGTGAATGCTTGTACTAGTGTTTCACAAGGTACTGATTTCCCTGCTATGGGCCTGTCACTCAGTTTTTGATTTAAAGGTTCAATTTAGCCAAATTAAAGGGTCATATTGCACAAATTAACCCTTTTGCGATGGGCTCAGAATAAAATACAAAAGTTTGTATATACATTTTCACACATTAAGTATTTATATTACAACTTTTAATGCAGTATGTGTATCTTCACAAAATATGGTAGACTTTTAGTAAGCATTACAAGTCTTTTGTACACAAAATATCAATTTCTCAAGGAAGTATTTTTACTAAAGATTTATTTGTGAATATGTTGGGTCTGTTTCATTACTGGTCCAAGTGCAAAGTAATTTTCATGTTATGATTAAAAAACTATTCTTTGTCCAAAAAATCTCAAGTATTATTTATGTAATTTCTAAAACCTCCTAAATAAATTTCAAACATTTGTTTTCATTAAACTTTATATTTTATCTGTTATTTTCTCTACTGTAACTCTATATGAGTTGGGGTAATTTGACTGATCTCGTAACCACCATAAAAATTAGGAAATTTATATAGATTATGCTTCTTTCATTCTAGAATGACTATAGATTTTAACACGAAAACACAAATGTTTAGTCTAAATAACTGAAAGCTCATAACCTTGTACATTTATATATAATTATTTGAATTATATTGACCTGGCTAACATTATAGGAGTTGCAATGATGAGGTGCATGTGCACTCATGTTACCTTATCCAAGAATATAAAACTAGCCTTTACAGAGTGACCTGACTTGGCTGTGTTTTAGTGGACTAGTATTTTATAAAATAGTTATAAAACATTTCAGTTATAATACATTATATATGTGTATAAATTATT